TTACCTTTTCGCCTTGGTCACAGCAATTTCATATCGTCAAACCTCGGGCCATATCGGCACTGTTGTCGTCCAGCCTGGACGCCTTTCTTTCCACGTGTCTACCCCCCTATGTTACCATTCGCTATGGATACAGATTTGATATCAATGGAAGAAGTGTCGTCTATACAGACACCCAAAGTTGCCCCACAGTGGCGGATACATCCACGTCGCTGCTAAACGACCTTCAAGTCGCACCTCTAGTCAGCAATCTCACCTTCCCGTCTCTCAAGTGAATGCCGGCTGCGTGGCTCAGTTCACGATAAGCCCTGCCTTATCCCGTGCGCTTAGCGTAGTATGGGGAAGAGGGTGAGAATCGAAGAGGACGAAGGAGGAAAGGGGGTGAGACGGGCATCGTCCATGTCAACCCCCCCATTCCCTGTCGTTTCCAGGCCGTCTGAGTCGTCTCGGCCGGGGATGAACATCACATCCCATCCAAAGACCGCCAGAGTGTACGGAGTACATATGCAGCGTGAGATGTCAGTTGCAATACATACACGTGTATCTTTACAGATACGTAGGTAGGTAGGCAAATAGGCAAGCACTCCAAAGTCTGGACGTCGTGTAATACCTACCTTAGTTTTCCACGCCTCGACTTCGCCACCCCAATTCCCTTTTGCCTCGACGAGGCAGGCGCAATGTCCGAACTGCTACCTACTCCTGCGCATGGAAGCACATGCGAAGTACCGCGCTACGTACCTTTCCGTAGATTTCTGACAACCAGATCAGGGCAAGAAGGAAGGAGATTGACTTTCCCATGGGACCGTCCCTGATTTTCCGGTAAAAAAAATTCTCTTGTTACAAAACACGCCGAAGTCTTCGCAGAGGGGTGGTCATCCCATCCCCAGTTTCATCCGACATCTTCTTTTGTTTCCTTCTATGTATTCTTCCTCGTCTTTTCACTCTTCTCTTTGGCATGGAAGCCGGGTTCTGGCTTCGCTGGCGTTCCGGGCCACTCGGATCGTCCCTTTTTGCCACGGCCTGCCCGATTCGAGCTTGTATCAATGAGACGCCGGCCACTACGCAGTAGGTCCGAGTCCATCTGGGTCTTTGTCCGCCCCCAACGCCTCCCAGAGAGAGAGCGCGGATTGGCGGAAAGAAGTCCTTGGAAGGCTGAGGTCGCTACAATTAGACAGTGCTGAGACTGACTGGCTGTCTGGACCAGGCTGCGAAGCATGCAGGAGGTCAGACCTCCAAGGCTGGACGGATCGATAATCTGCACTCCTGTCCTCCCGCATTCGACGGTGAACGTCGTCAATAATGTGCCCTTAGCTTGCAGATACTTGGAGTTGCCTAGAATTCAATGCTATGGTACCCAAACATTTCGTCACCGCTCTTCTAGCATCAGAAAACGGTACCATTGGAAAGAACCTACAACTCTTAACAATTTCAAAGGTGGTTTTCCCACAGGAGAGGCGCAAACAACCCGATTAGCCGTCAGCCGTCCTCCCCCTCCACCTCGATGTCGTTGATATTGAGCTTCATAGCTCCTGTTATCTTTTCTTATCGATACGTTCAGGCCACCAGCTCATCACGATTGATGGCGGGGTGATAAGCCGTTGATTGCGATTGCGGCGTTGCGCTCCCTCACCACTCCACAAAATCGTGGGGCCCCGTAGAATTTTCTCTCGATCCTTCACCAAGCCCGTCATCTCCTTAGCCCGGGCAACGACCACGAAAACCACTGCAGGGGTCGCACGCCCTCCCGCTTTCTTGACCGCCTGATGGCCTGGCTTTTGCTCGTGGTGGTAGATATATACGGTCGTCAGTTTTGCGAGATATCTTTCACTTCAAACAACAGAGACCCGAACATTGGGCGTTGAAAGCCTCGAATGGTTTGATGGCTTTTCACATGCTTGAATGTTTACCCTGCTCCTGCCAAAAACTTTTTTCTCAATCTGTCCCTGCCGTAAGGTAGGTACGTTACTTACCAGGCACCTTCTGCCTAAGGCCAAAAGTGACATTACTTGGTAGACGCCAATTTTTTCCGACCCACTATTCCTCTCGGCTTTTATTCGGGTGTTATCACCGATATACCAATCCCCGATTGGCTCCCTCTCAGAGACCAATCCAGGTCCTGCGATGACGTTGTTGTCGCGAACTGCCCTCCATCCACGCGGCATGGCCGACAAAGTTTGGCGTCTGATGTCGCGGTGCAATCCGAAGACATTACACTTCTGAACTCTCGTGTCCCTTCTTGCGTATCCCTTTTTGCTTTCATCGTATCTTCCGAGATGGTTAGGCCCGACCCGTACTGGCCCAACTCAGTGATGACATCCCTCAATCGCTGGGAAACAGCTCTGGCGACAGTACGGCACTCCCGCCCTTATTGATACACTGCTTACCTACTACTGCCAATACGTTGTTCCGGCCACGCGACAGCGTGGTATCACGAGAGTCAGTAACCTTTTCCTACCAAAACGGCAAGACGTCAATAACCTTACTCATACTTTGCGTTCGCAGTTCCGAAACCTGACGCCGACCCTGTTCTAAATCTCGATAACCGCCTCCTGTCACATTATCGCCGTCGAGACGACCGATGGCCCACCTGTCAGCGGGCCCGTCATTGCCTTGACTGCCTTGTTTCTCCTACAGCATATTACGGAGCTTGCGTCTACTTTTGGAGTCTCGTAGCCCCCGACAACTGGAAAACAATCTATCCAGCGGTTGCATACCAGAAGCCTGGCCATCTGAGGCCTTGACTACCTTCGCAACATGGCCACCGATCGATGCTGTACAGATAAATACTGAAGAGGATGGAAGACTTCCGCACGTCTAATTCAGGTCTAGGTTACGTGATGACTGGCTAGGCTCATAGAGCATTGCACATGCTCACCGTAACTAGGTAAAGCACCCACGTTGCATTAGGTTTTGCTGCGAGGAGAGAGTCACTACATATGATAGGCTTCTCCCCGGTAATGCCGTTGAATGTCACTGTCATGCCTTTTGGGATTGAGGCTGAGGGATAAGCCAGAACAAGGTAACATAACTGTCTGCTGAACTAAGTGTAGACTCGGTGGCCTGCATGGATCCTGATGACCTCCGTATATATGCCTTGACCGTTTCATGACGTGTATTGAAGAGTCTACGTGTTGCCCGTGTCTTCCAAGATCCCATTGCAGCACCCGGATGTTAACAACTCAACTCCGGGCCGACATTGCGGCCCCACCTCGCCGCAGAATGCGGAATCTTAACCTAGCCCTATCAGGCCGTGGCAAACGAGACTTCCATTGTCGTTTCCAACAATATCATCTAAGAAGCATTGAGTCAGCGAACACTGTCTGTCAAGTCTTGGAAAAATCACCTACTCAGATTGATAGAAGTCCAGCTCCATCTACCATAGCAATTTTCGCATTTGCATTTCAAAGTGAGCCCGTCAAGCGAACACGTCCTTGCCGAGCAGCTCTCCGCGTATCGTCCTCTAGTTATCGAAAATCGGCATCATTAGCTTTGAGAGAACACAATGTCTTGCGACTTTATAGCATGTGGGTTCGCTGCCAGTCAATGGCTTACCTTGCGCGACCCTCAAGGTTGCCACAAGAATTTGCGAGGCAGAGGTTCAAGTTGAGATGGCCTATCTTCTCAAAGCCCAGGTGATCACGGCACGTTGCGTACAACAAGGTGAAGTAGCGCGGATTGATCGTAAACGAGTGACAGGTGGCTGAGGCTCCGCCCCGGAGTGATTCGAAATCCTGAGGGGAGTTGTCGGTTGGAGTGACTTGCAGTTGCGTCGTATTTGCGCTTCTGATTGCGATGCCTGCTGCAGCAGTGAAGGTGAGAGACATCGCCGCCGCGAACCTGATGAGGTGAGCGACGCGCATCCTGAAGAAGAAGAAGAATGGAGTCTGAGTTTGCCAGATTTGTCTTCTTGAGAGAGAAGACTCTGCAGTCAAGGGAAGATGACATCTGGACTACAACTATCCGTGGAGTGGCGAGTTCTTAAATGTTCAACTGATGTAGCGATGATCATGAGCCTCGTCTCGTGTGAGCAAACCAAGCTTCGCCGGAATAGACGTCGCAACGTCGTGAACAGGGCTAATGGCAATTCTCATTCAATCTGTTCAGAACTTTGATTCCGCTCAGTTGCGGACCGGGGCATCCAGCTGGTCTAATTGGCGCGCTGAACACATTGAGGTTGATTGCAGGTCTTGGATACAAACGTGCACGGCAAACCGCACCACGGCGTGGTCGACACAATACGAGGTTGCTTCTCAACCTACCTTGGGCACTGCTACAATGGCTACTAACCCAAGGTTGCCAGTTGTTCGGACTTTACCCCATTTTACAATTTCTTTGCGGGACATTCTGCCTCAAGAATACCATCCTCCACAACGCCAGGCTCACGTGTCCCAGTCCTTCCGCCAGACGAACCTCACATGTTGGTCTCAGCCGACTGGACAGATGTCTCTACAATAATCGGAGCGTAGACTCATTTGATTCTTAAGCATTGTCCCAGGGCATGATGCATTCACTCAATCTGGATGTTTGAGTCACACAGTCAGATTGAACAAACAGGATGTTCTAATGTAAAGCCGATGATTCATTTTCAGTCCCTGTCCTTGGAGGGTTACACATGACTATGATGCTGCTCTTAAAGGCATTGTCCATGGGAAACGAATCTCTCCATTGTTTATAGAGGCCCCCCTTGCTTAGCGGCTTGAAAGAGACGTCGCTGAGCAGCCGCTTGTACAAACATTATTCAAGGGATCATTGATGAGGCGAGCCTTGACGCATTATCCTCGATTGACTCACATGTCTTCCTGCCATCGTCTAAGGAGTCTTGACAAGATGTTGTTTTCATTCTGGAACGATGTTCCGAAAACTGAAATACCGAGGTCCAGGTTTAAACCAACTCGAATAAATATACATCACTCAACATGTCAAGAACTTCACGGGCCCCAATCTTTTCCGGGCTTACTCTTTCTTGTTTCTCGTTTCCTCATTTCCTCACCAGGGACGACACAATGGCTGGCGTCAGCTCCGAATCGAGCCTCTGGGCGATACGGTATCCCAACTGGGATACAACTAGGGAAGCCTTCGAGGATGACAAAACCCCAGTACCGAAACCGCCATCCGTAGCAATCGACTGGCTTTTCTTCAGCGAGACTTTTCAAATGAGAGCCCTTGGGGGGCTGCGTTTGCCAGAATACTGGGCCCTGCAAGACATCGACGCATATGGACCAACCTACCGCGTATCGGACGTGGCAGGTGCCATCGAAGACGAAAGCGATCCATTCATTGATGCCGATCCACGCGAGAAACTGTCAAACTTTATGGATGGTTTGACACTGTACCCGTACGTATCTTGGGCAACCAGTGACTTTGTCGAGGTGGACGAAACGAAGTGGTTCAAGATCTTCCGAAGGGAGAGATGGTCGAGCTACAAGCACCCCGACCCCAACGGGCTATCGATCGATATCGACGACGACGCAACATGGGCCAAAATAAGCAGAGTCATCGAGCTTGCAAATAGAATTCTGAAAGAAGCAGTCAGTCATGAATGGTGTGTTCCCACTTTACACGTACGAACAGAATCAGAGGCCTTTGTTCTCCGGTTGGAGAAAGACTTGTAGCACATCTGCATTTCACTGACGCTTGATATCCGCTAGGCTGGCAAGTTTTCTAAAGGAGGATTCCCGTGAAGTTCGACGGGATGTGATGGTAGGGTCAAAACATCAGGCCCCTCGGAACGGTACCATCGTCCGCGTCAAGCCGGTCAGCCCCGAATCCCGTCTTAGTCCAACAGAAGCTCGAAAGGTTCTTGACGACATCGCCGACACTTTCTTTTGGGGATTCTATCTTAGAGAAGAATGGCCTTCAGCTATTGGATTGACAACAAAGCTCATTGACAAGAACGGGAGGCAGCTCAAGTGGATGCGTGTTGGTATCGAGTATTTCCAGCCGATATTCCAAAACATGATGTTCCAGGACCCTGAAGGCCGCCAGGCAACGTTTCTGGTGACCAAGACTGTGAGTTAGATCTCCATTCAACCTTCCTCTGATGTTAATAGGTATTGACTAGTTTCTGTTTTGGCTAGATACTGCATGAATTAATGGTATTATGTCAAGATCTTCTTCTGCCGAGGTAACTTCACTAAACATGGAAAATATAGCATGGTATATCTGGCCACATGCACAGATCGTATCAAGAAAAGCATCCCGAGGAACCGCTCATGGCGACTGAAGTTGTAAGTAAGATTTAACACCTCTGTCGCGAAAATTCTTGCTTATGTGGTTGCGAGTAAAGTTCTGGGACGAAGAGAAGTATGCAGAGGCGGGCATTTCTTGGGAAATGTCATTCTTTGGATTTTCCTTGAAGGACGTTTCCGGCGGTCCCCAAAAGGCTGGTCATGCCCTCTTCGGCATACGTGCCCCTTGGCCAGCTTTCTGCGTGTCAAGCGTCGGTCACATGGATACCTACGACAAAGGGCCTCTCACGGAAGCATTTCGGGAACATCGGCCCGGCATACCTGCCATCGTCCCTTGCGCGATGACAACTTCTGACTTTTGGGAGACCCATGTGCCAAAATACGGATACAAGGCACTGAGATACAAGGGGGTCAGTGTTTCTGAACGGGTTTGGGAGAGCCATTATCAAGACGCCGCACGAACCTCGCGAGCCAAGATTCTTGACCCCCCTTATTCGGAATACGGTCGCCTTGATCATAGTATGAGAATGATTGCTCAGCGCTTGAGACTTAGACGATTGGAGCTCCGAAGGCTGAGGCCATGGTACAAGGAAGAATACACCAAATGGCATGCTACGATATATGCCGAGACTCAACTGCGATGCAAATTGGCCGACATTGGGTCTTCGTCTAAATCCCATCACGACACACACGAATCCGATATTCGGCACCAGCTCAAGAGCGTCTTGTGGCCATATAACCATAGTCTCGATGTCGCCAAATTCAAGATTCGACACAAAACGACATCGAGGTTCCTCTACCACGCCTACGCATATCTGTGGTTGGCAACGCTGCCCGTCAGGAAGAAGCCTACGCCATCCAGTCGTCCGACCTCAAGGCCACTGCATCCCGAAAGACTGAGCATACCCAAAGCTGCTGGAGGCCAGGAGCTCATTGACCTTGCTACTAATCAGGGAAAAAGAACATCAGTAGCGACGGACACGTACCTACACAACTCCAATACCCCAAGCCACGACAAAGAGCTGTGCATGGAAAACGCCAAACTGTCGTTTTTACGATGGAAAGTTCTCGGAAATGTGTCACCTGAGGTGGCTAAAGGTTTCGAGTATGACTGGCGTGATATAAGGAGAATGATGGATCAATCCCCCTATGACCATGGGTGGTTAACTTACAATTACCGAGACTTGCCCACCCACGTCACTCAAGAGATGCATTACCCTATCGGAGCATCGCAGGTTCAAGGACTTCCCTCGAAGAGGATTGACCTTGACGACGCCGATCTTCCATCCTGGGCAGTCGCGAGACCGGTGATCGCTCAAGTGCCGGTCCCGTTGCGAGGCAAATCTGCTGAGATCACCCCTCCGCTTCGCCACTACCACGTAGGCGAAATTGGTGATCATCAACGCGTCGGTAGCGGAGTCAAGTGGTTTGTCCACAAAGCCGACGGTGATGACAGGCATTTAATTTACGACTTTAGTGGGATATTGTCGTCGGAATATGGGTGGGATGCTGCAACTCGAGAGAAACTGACAATGAGGCCAGATTCCTCCAGTCCTGTCTTGAATAGAGTGCTTCGCACAGGAGACATGAACGAGAAGGTCCGTGAATTGTGTTTGAAAAATGGGCCCATTGGACAAGTGATGCGGCTCATGCGCACGGAAGATATCAGACTGGCTTACAACAGAGACCGCTTGTCATGTGTAGCCTTGGGTAACCACGTTTTTGATCTGACGTGTGATCTGACAAGTAAGTTTATTCTTGGCTTGGAATTCTCGAGACTTGCTCATAGGCTCGTACGCTGATCTTTCAGACTTCCAACTGGCAGAACACATGCAACCTTTACTGGTGATTATTAAGCTAAAACGACAGGAAAATCCTCTCCTCAGGGCAGTCAGTTTAGGATATAATCCTGATGTTATCGTCAACTTCCTTCGGCCTTATCAGATTGGGATCAGGACGCAAGAGCTTGAGAGGTACAGCGTTTATCGATTACGCCATTTCACATTGAACGAAGTCAAGTGGCACGTTTACCCAGAGACAGGGATCTACACCATCTTCAAAGGGCATTCGGTAATAGATCTTACAGGTAAGTTCGGTACAGGTTCAAAGACTCAGGTCGAGTACTCAATGCTGATCAAACAGACTTCATGAAATTTCATCCTGGTGGTATGGAGATTCTGCAGAGCGTCGCCGGGAAAGACTGTACACGTCAATTCAAGCAGTACCATCAAGTCCCAACGGGTTTCCTTGGTGTCACTACACATGTCTATTTCGAAAGGCTGCAAGTTGGTAAGATCGTCTCTGAGCAAAGCCCAGGCGTTATATCTCCGGATCAAATTGTAATTCGAAATCAAGTCTTCAGCCGAAAGGGTAAGCATAGAAAACGTTTCCGGACTAAAGATGAAGTTCCTACTGACAGTAGTCGCTTAGCGGATCTTTCAAGGCTGTCAGGTAGCGCCTTAGACGGGTTAAGGAGTCTCCTGGCATCCGAAGAACTTGAAGAATACTGGGGAAAGAATGTGACGGCCCAGATGGACACAGCAAGCCCGCCAAAAATACTTTGCAGACTGTTTGATACAAAATGGCTTGTTGTCGCCAAGGTTGTCGCGCCAATAGACACACTGCCTTTCATGGACGATCAAATGTTGGCGCGCATGGACGGCAAAGTTGAGCCCTGGGGCTTCCATGAATCCTACGTTTCTGACAGCAAGTACATATACAACTTGACTTGTGAGTATTGCCGTCGGCACTAATTGTCTGCGCGAGTGACTAAACTCCACCAGCATACCTCAGATACGGAAAACCTGACGGGTACAACGAGCTTTTGAAAGCTCGTGCCGGAACAACGCTCTCCAACTCATTACAAGACCAAGAACTGAAGCGAAGGCTGTGGTCAGACTTCCAATATCGAATTATAGCACAGCATGGTCCGAATCAAGATGCTGATTTCGATTGGAAAAGGTCCTTCAGGCCGATCTCCGAAGATGTGCCTGACTTTGAAGGTAATGAAACTTCGAAAGTCACACCTGCTATGTCAGTTGCTCAAGCTGCGGGAAAGGGCAATGCGACTCGTGCTTCAGACCAGATTGTCCAACCAATCCAGAGCGTGGCCGGCACGAAACGCAAGCATAACGGGCAGCTCAAGGTACAGGAAGAGCGCATCAAGGCTGTTACTACAAGCCGATTTGCACTGCCAGAACAAGTAGCTGCAGGCGTGAAACGAAAGAGCTCGCCGACTCCGGTCCGGCCGTACAAAAAGGTAGTCAAAGAATCTCGTGGCTCTGTTGGTGGTCCTTCGTCTGGGATTGAAGGCTCAAGCAGAACAAGTTCAAGGGGAACAGAGAAGCCGAGGCAAGAATGGGAGTGGAAGGACTTGTACATGTATCGATGATGATGGCAAGGACGCGTGTGGAACATTGAGGCTATTGATGAGGGAGCAGAATTGATCTGAATGATGAATCGGTAGAAGGTCGTTGAGTGTTTGTTCGAGATTTCATGACGCACCTTTGTGTTCGAACTTAAGGTTGTTCATCTTCCAGGCATTTTTGCCCGCATGAAAGCTGGACAGTCATGTCCCCCGTCTTCTCGACAAATGTCAAAATCTGCCACATCAGAGTACGGTGCCGAATTCCAACACCTCTTCAACGACCATCGCCTGACATTGGCATTGCTGGGATGTTCTAAGAGCACTAATAAAAAGCTGTTTCACGTTCAATATCTTACATGAGGTTGCGTACCAGACCTTGGCCCTACCAGATCCATGGTCTCAGCAGATAGTTCCTCTTCCACTCTGGGCTTTATGCGTCTCGCAAGTCAGTTCCGGCTACCTACCATGCCCATGATCCCTTCATGACACATTTGGAATGATCGGAAGCATTTGCAATTCATTGTTCTGGAAACAGAGCAGAAATACGCAGTGCCATGTCGCTGAATCCGGAAAGGGACCAGGGCCCCGGCCACGCATCCCATCGGCGGGGACACAAAGGAACAGGAAGCCCACGTTGACCCCTTGCCGAAAGGTTCATTGAACAGTTCTTTGCGCCCAAGACCAAGGTGTCATGAATCCTTGGGTTTTTGCTCATCTTTTTTCAGTTACAATGCTGAACGTGATCCAAAATTGTACCGCTCGACTGTTTTCAGTCATTTGAGAGGCGTTTGTGTGCCTCGCTCGTCTTTCCATTCCAATCCGATCTACCAAAAGACTTGATCTCTATTCTGAGTTGCAAGGCTCTCACTCAACCGCTCGACTTACTTTTCCACTACCTGCTCAATACTCGAATCTGTCTTGAACTCAGACGCAGACTGGTCTCCGGTATCACTCATTCTGTCAGAGACTGAACATCCCCAGAATGCCTGACTCTTCAGAAAGTTGCTGGGAAAGGTATTATGGCGTTGGCGAGACACGCCCGCTGCGACAGAATGGCCTATCATGGATGGACCCAATCTTCCCATCTCTTGACCCGCAGACACTCGAGATCATCGAACCACACTCTGACATAATTCCACAACCGTCTCCTCCCGAGCTGGACGATCTCCTCCTCTCGGAGCGACAGCAACTTTCAAGTCTCTCGGGGTTGCGAACCTGGGAAGCTGCGGTACTGGCAAAGACGGAAGCCTATACTGCAACGGGCGAGAGGCAAGCAATGAATAGCAACGAAATACAAGTCGACGAGTCGTCTTGGCTGCCTGTTTGGTCAAGGGACCGTTGGATGATTGACTTCATTGCGCCTCCCAGTTCGTCCACCAATTGGTCTGGATCGCGTCTCTGGAGCGCGCACGATCCGATCATCTGGGGCGTTCTTAAAAAGGCGATACAAATTGCTGATAACATCGTGCGGAAATCCCTCGAAGGAGACTGGTAATTACACATTCCAAGAAGACTTGACATCATACTGTAGACAAGAGCAAGGTAGGGTGTGAATCAAGACAGAGCTAACATTGTGCGTTTCATTTCAGGCTACAATCTCTGCTCATCCCGGAAAACCTTGAGAGCCATGAAACGACACTTCTGTCAGGTTCGAGTAAGGTCGGCAAAATCTGGAGAATGAAATCATCTCCCATCATTCGCAAACCTGCGAAAGAACTGATCCAGCTGCTGTCCTCGCCTTCCCTTTTGAATAGAATATTTTGGACTTTCAACGACAAAACAACCTTGAACTCATATGTGCCGGACGGAATCATCAAGGGATTGACGGCACCATACGATTTATCGGAAGGGCCGATCACGGTCTTCGTCAACATTTCTGGGATAAAGACGCTTCTAGATGCAAACGCCACTCAATCTTCCAAGAGTGCGGCGCTGGTGTGTCTTGCAGACACTGTGAGTCTGCGATCTCGCGAGTCTTTTACTTGCTACTTACTAATGCGCTCCTTTGTACAGCTAGTTCACGAACTCATGGTAACCCAACACCGATTTTGGGTGTTTTTCCTGAGGACACGTGTATCAGAATCGACTAACGCTGGGACACCCTTGTTATAGCATGTGATCGGTTTTCAGAACTTGAGCAGTGAGGTCCTGCTACAAAAATTAGGAGTCCCGCTTCACGGTTTTGAGATCGTAAGTAACCTGAATATACTACTCGCTAGATCTGCTGATAAGAATAATTTTTGCCAGTTCGGCCCACAGGAGCACCAGTGCGAGCTCGGGTGGTCATTTGAACAACATGCATTTGGAGGCACTGTGTTTGGACTTATCCCCAAACGCGATAGAAACTTGCTCAGCATAAACTATGCGCCATTGATTCTATCCATCAACAGGTTCCCTCATGTATCTGATCCTACACTTACCTATGACTTCCTTTTGGATAGCCCCACCATCAAAACGAGTTGGCCTCTGCCATCACTTTGGCATACTTCCCTTTCTTCCGAGGCTTTCTGGACTCAAATCGTTTCCAAGTATGGTTATTCGAGCCTGAAGGCACCCAAAATGCTCGAGGTCACGAGAGAGAACGGAAATCGAGGCTTTTACCAACCTTGGGTTTGGACTATCGAAAAGTCGGCTTGGTTCAAGGAAGGCTTCGTCCCTCAAAATTTCCAGGCTGATGAGCTCAGGATGTCAGCGAGGAGTTTGCACAGCCGGCGGCTCAAGTATCAGAGAATGCGCCCGTGGTTCAAAGACACATTCGCAATGTGGCAGATGACGCCTTACAGCCAGGTCGATCCTCGACACAGACTTTCATGTCTAACGATTCCGCTAGCTCGCAGGAACCAACGTGACGAATTTGACACAGATTGTCTAGTTAATTTATTGATTCACCCGCTATACGTGGATTATAACCAATACGGCGTACTCGAATATGAAGTTTTTCAACGAAACTTTCAAGCTCGCATTCATGATGAGAATAAGACGCAGTGGTTCTGGCGGGCCATAGGGTTTCTCTTGCTAGCCTCGCTGCCTGCACGAGCAGAGGAAGTCGTACCGGCGAAACAGCCAAAACGACTACTATCGAACCCTTGGACTATCTCCCAAAGTCTCCCGCTCAGCCAGTCAACAAAAGACGCCATCCAGGCACAGATTAAAACAGCATGTGCGGAAAGATGGTTCTACCCGCCGTTCACGTTAGTAAGGCGACACATGCAAGATCCCAACGACCCATATTTGGCACGCAGTGATCGCCACAATAACATTGATCTAGCAGAGACCGCATTCAATACATACACGTCACTCTGCATAGAGCCAGCCGGTTTGCGAGACGCCTTTGTAGCCGAATGCTCAAGCTTAAGAGCCCAATTGGATGCCGACTTTGCAAACGGCTACACCTCGTGGCTTGACTTCCGTTTTCAAATGCCTCAATACCCTGGGCAAACCTACGATGGTAGGGCACTTTCACTATTGGACTTTCATCGTTCAGGTGCAAATCCTGGGAACTCTACAGACAAGGACAGTGGAGACAGAGCTGCCGAGATATTCCACGGAGAAGACCCGGCAAAACACCCCTCCCTAGACTTCCCGGCTTTTGCGAAGGCTGGCATCGTCACTGTACCTTCAAAGCAGGGTGAGAGTCATCAGCGATATCAGCTACCATACTACACAGTGGCTGAGCTGTACGATCACGCGAAAGTACTCGGAGATGAGCTGATTCTGGTCGAGAATGGGCACCACCTGGATGTTCACAAATGTTCTGCCATCTGTCGATCGCTCGAGCTTGATGAGGACGAACTGCCTGAGTTCACCAAGCCCACTTTCTACGGCACTCAGTTGACTGATTACGGAGTGGAATGTCTCTACGAAGCTGACATACTTTCCTTGCCCTTGGGGCGAGTGGTTCGCATCTTGCGGGAAGATGACATTGCTCAGTGTGATGGAACCGGTGGGGATCCGTTATGGATCCGCATACACAACAGCGTTTTTGATATTACTCGTGCGTAGGATTGCAGACACAACCCACATTGATTGACTGCTGACATCAGACAGACTTGAAGTGTTTATCAGAGCCGGGACTACGGAGGCTCTTGGCGAGTAACCCAGGTGGAGATCCATCTCTTGAACTACTGCAAGATGGGTATACTCTTGACGAGATCAAGAAATCTCTTGCACCGTGGCGGGTTGGCATGGTAGCCAAAACTCCAGGCGTAGTTGCCGGCAAGCATTCTGTCAGAACCTTCACGCCCCGATCACTCAGAAGACACGAGTTCAGAGAAACAGGGTTGTACGTTGCGATTGAGAACAAGGTTTACAACATCACCGGTAAGTAGAGAGATGGCTAAGGCCAAAGAACTAAGAGGGTAATGACTGATCATATGGCAGACTATGCCGAAACACATCCAGGGGGGCTTCAGTGTTTGGTCGAAAATGGTGGACGAGACATTACAGATCTCTTCAATAAGTACCACCAAACGAATCGCAACCGAGTTCTCAAAAGCTTGCAGGAGTTGTACATTGGCAATTTGATCGAGCAGCGACAAGAATATGCAGATGATGATGTGGAAAGTCTTGTTAATGACAGGCCTGTGCTTCTACATGAAATCAGATTCGGCAGGGAGGTCTACTCGGTGGAAGGTGAGCTTGAATGACATCGTTACGAAATCAGGCTTTTGAGAATATGCTGACTTCCTGATGGTACAGCTCTCAGAGACTCAGAGGAGCATGGAGAGTTCTCCGAACTTGCAGATTCTCTTTCGCCCTACCTCGGACTCGATGCCACGGAGGCTCTGCAAGCAGAAGAGTATGAGGACGGGCCCCTGATGCGCTTTGCTTGTCTCAGGGGCTACATTGTAGCAACAGTCGAGGAAATAGGCTATAGTCTTCCGGAAATCGAGCCAGAGGAACTCAGAATGTTCGATGGACATACCGACGATGGCCGTGATATCCAATACGACGCATTCGTGGCTTCAGATGGCTTCGCCTACGATTTAACAGGTGAGTATACTTCGTACTATTCTGTCTTTAAGTCTACCTCACAAGTTCCTTACTCGTGAAAACCCAGCTGCGATGCTTTACGGATCATGCAACCCCATCTACTCCAAGTTCAAACCCTTCCTCGGAGGTGTTGTAGGGGATGAGGAGTTAAGAACGTACCTTGACACCCATTGCGAAAATCTCATCTGTGCGGTTCTAGTACAGGAAAAGAACGAAGAGAATGGTAGGCGCATTGTCAACTGGGATCCTAGGAAAAAGGTTGCTCGTGAGTATAGTCTTGCGATCAGTTTGGGTGAAATGTTATTGACCCCTTTTCTAGCCCGGTATAAGATGCCTATCTGGGCCAATCGCCCTCGAAAGGTTCCGAAACCACCGGCAGAAGACGACATTGCTCCTCACATTGACACCATAGAAAAGGCCAAAGTCGCAAGAGAGGAGCAGTCCGAGAAGAAGGAAGTATTCGAGCCCACTCCAACGGCAACCTTTCTTCAAAACATGATCAATCAACTTGACGAGGTCAATCAGTCCAGCTTCGCTGTGGGGCTGGAGGAGGAAGAATCTCGAACCAGCTGTAACAGAAACACTAAAGGCAAGGAACCAGAAAGTAAGGCAAGTAGTTCAAAGACGCGACAATTGAGCAGATTGGAGGCCGATCTCAGACGTCGCAAGGACGAAAAGATCATGAGGGAGATAGCCCGAACATGGCAAGAGGTGATTGCTTCAGATGAATCAACTCTACCGGCTGCTTACCCGCCTCAGAACAGCGCCAAGGACACAGTTGGTAGTGCGCTTCAAGAGAAACAATCAGAGGAAGGAGAACGTAGTGCCCAACAAGACGCCACTCCGCCCGGTATGTCGAGGAGAGCACTCGAGGTCATCAAAAAGCGCAAGCCTGTGTTCGAGATCGATGAGGGCCCCCCGAGGAAGCGACGATAGATACTGCTTTGCATCTACATGCCAAGCTTGCTTTAGTTTTTGACACACATTGCCGATATCTGAAGTATTCCTGGGTCTTTTTTGTTGTTGGCGCCGAAATGGAATTGATTGTTTCCCTCATTGATCGAGTCTCGGATAACTATCTTCATTGCGTTCGGATGGTTGTGTACTTTACGACAGAGTTCCTCAAATAATCGCCAGTCTAAGAGAGCTAAAATCTCCGCTTTCAGTTTTCGTGACAATATCCACCTGTTGAACTTGAGTGTTGAAAAGACAGCTCCGCATCAAATCAGCCACGGACTCGGCCGAGATCCCCTTACTCCACTCCGGCCGGGGCAAGCATCGGCCTAGTCTGAATGGTGTCAAGTGATGACAAACCATGACGTGATGGAGTAGCGCTGTCGTTCTCGTCGAGGTCCAACACCGACATGGGCATTGCAGACTTTCATTCTTGGGGATTACACATACTCTCAACAACATCGTCCCAATTGCAACAATTGTACTTATAGAACTCAGCTGCACCATGTCTTTCATGCAGGAGCTCACGTCATGGATGTCCCCAACATCGTTGACCCTGTCCAACCCACCAAAAGCGGGCGACGCGGCCCCGAGCACCGACCAGCTCACACTGCCCAGGGATGGTGGTAAACCCGCTGTAATCGCTTTCCTGCGGCACTGTGGATGCCCATGTTAGTCAATGACCCAAACGATGGATGGGGTTTCGTTCCGTAGGATCGTCAGTGAGACTCACATACCTCACCCACCAGTCGCCGAGAAGACCTTCATCACGCTCCGCGAAGCAGCATCGAAGCATCCCGAAATCGCCTTCATCGCCGTCTCTCACTCGTCAGAGTCGCACACACAGAAATGGCTGTCCGAGGTCGGCGGACCCGGCGATAAGAACCCGGTCCAAGTCATCGCCAACGAAGAACGCGACGTGTACGCCAAATGGGGACTCGGCGCATCGAGTTTCTGGCACGTACTGAGTCCCTGGACGCTTTCGGATGTGTTCAAGCTCTCTCGTGAAGAGGGAATCGCCAATAGGCCCACTGAGAGCGGCAACAGATGGCAGACTTCCGGAGCTTGGGCTGTTGATGGGAAGGGTCAGGTTACATGGGGTGGTTCCGCCACGACTGCCTCTGAGATTCCCGATGTTGGAAAGGCCATTGAGACGCTGAAGTAATGTATGTTCTAATTGGTATTATTCTATTTTGGAAACATTAAATTCGACTTTCGGCAGCTCCAGCGGACCAGCCCTGAACCAAACCGACAAACTTTTCAACCTCTGTCGCTTCCGTCGCCCACGTTGTGAGCAATCTCACCACAGCTTCATCATCCCCTCGCTTCTCCCATACATAAAAGATGAAGTGCTCCTGCAAAACCTTGATCAAGCTCATGGGCAGCACCGCAAACACCTGATTCGTCTCCGTCACAGCGTGAACCGAGAACCCGGCTGCAGCAATACCGCTGGACAACGTCTCGGCGCAGTAATTAGCTAACCGCGCGAGGTCGAAATAGAGATCCTCTCTGAAAAGCTCTGCAAACTGCGCGCCCATGATTCTGCTCTTGGCCAGAAGCGAACCATGCTGCTTGACGTAGAACTCGAACTCGGTCGCTAGACGAGCGTCCTTGACGACCACAGCTTCTCCAAGCAACGCTCCATTCTTTGTGCCTCCGATCCAGAAGATGTCTGTCAACTCCAGGATATCGTGCAGCGTCATGTCGTTTGATTTTGACGCTACTGCTGTCCCGATGCGTGCGCCGTCGAGGAAGAGTATCAGCTGGTTTTGTTCGCAAACCTGCTTGATTGCAGCAAGTTCGTCTCTCTTGTATATCGTCCCAATCTCCGTCGCATTAGAGATGTACACCAACCTCGGCTTTGCCATGTGGGGGAAATGCCAGTTCTCGTCCACCGCGCGTTGAATGCTCTGGGGTGTCAACTTGCCATTGACTGGCGCGACGTTGATAATCTTGTGCCCGCTAGCTTCCACCGCACCGGTCTCTCTTGTGACAATGTGCCCCGAGCTTGCGGCAATGGCAGCTTCGTGGGGCCTTAGACATGCTGCGATGGATATGGCATTGGCTGATGTCCCGCTGGGGACGAAGAAAATTCCAACATCATCGCGACCCAAGTGCCGACGTATCCGTTGCCTGGCAAGGTCGCAATATGAGTCGCCTCCGTAGCCGGCTTCTTGAGATGTGTTGCCGGCGAGAATGGCTTTGAGCAGGGCCGGGTGAGCTCCTTCGCTGTAATCGTCCAAGAAGCTGTAGCGAGGAGTCGCCGTGGGAGCGGGGAATTGTGAAGGCATGTTATGCTGTAAATAGGCGATGAGACGAAAAACAACAACGAGATTCAAACGAGTCACTGGAATCATGAGAATCTGGTCCAGTTTCCCGGTAATTCTATATAGAAGTCCCCATCCCCACCGCAAAGCCCACCGAAGCTTTCAGACGATGACAAAACCCGAGCGTTAGTAAGTGGAACGTTAGTCAACGATAGTCAGTGCGATCGCGGTGGGTCAGCGCTCAACAAAAAAAAAGGCGTTATCAGACTTTCCCGAAACTACGGATGTCATGGTCCTTGAGATTACCTGCAAAACTTGACGGTTACATGCGGCGTGACAACGGATAGGTGCGGGTTGACAGTCCGGGGTTCCGGTGCTCGGGAAAGCATGAAGTGTTTGGTTGACCGTGCAGTGCAGTACAATGCGGGGGGAAGAGGTGGTCCAAGACACACATCACGAGGCCGTCGTTGAGGAGATGGTGCTGGTGGCATCCATGGAAAAGTCTATGAAACTCCGGTAGGTCTCAACCATGGAGTCGTCGAGGGGTTTCGGGTACGTAAGAACCTTTTGCGATCTTGGCTTGAGTGGTACGCCGTTTGCTGTGAGGTCGTTTGACTGGTCGTAGAGTTCTGGATATTTGGCGTAAAAGGCCGGGTCAATCTTGTAGTACGATGCACCTTTATCCATGTTTAACTGCTTGAACGCTGCACGAGCATGAGACGGAGACGAGAAGAGAGTGGTGATATCCGGGGCGGGGAGACTGGCTGGGGTATCGTTGTCGCCGGCACCGGATGACAATGACATGGCTGCGATAAGGTCCGTCACCCGGACGTAAACTGTAATTTGAGGCGCGTCGCTTATCAATTCGGACATGACCGCTTCCACCACGTATCCCGAGACGGCGTCGCAAAATATCTGATCGATAAGAGGATTGGCGGCGTGGAGCTCTATCAATCGGTCCCGGATCGAGGGGAACGGTATCCAGTCTATCACGCGCGGGTGTGGATGCTTCAGTTGCGTGTCGGTAGGCCGATACCGCTGGTGTAGCTTTTGGAATGTCGCGGGCGAGGGGTAGAGTTGCCAGGCCGTAAGCTCGATGATGTGGAAAAAGCGCGTTTTGGCGTACCATGCCATGACATCCGGTCGCGTCATGCTGTTGAACATGGACAAGACCATGAGAACTGGTTGATATATGCTGAACATAGTTGTCAGTCATCCGTCCTTGTGACATAAGGTCTACTCACCTTTGCATCGACGGTTGGCTATCCGGATTGAAGCCATTTGCCGCCAGCTTGCTTTTCAGAAGATGCTGGAGGAGCTTTATGTGGTCCGAGAACGGCGAATTTGATATCGGCATGTCTTTTCTCAGTGCCATGCTCGACTCCTGAGATGCAGCCATGGCAGTCAGGTACGGCTCTATCCCGGTTTGGTACTCGAAGCTCCAGATGTTGGGGATCTGGGTATAGAGGGGGCTGGTTCCGGTCACATTGATGAGTTCCGACGATAGAAATGCATCCTCAGATTGACCTGGAGTACCGTCAGTTGCTGATCGATGAATCTCAAGATCTTGAATCGCTTACCTGGACCAGGATGATGGGCAAGCGGCGGGTCAAAGTTCAGTGATGATGTGTCGAAAGGTTCCAATTGCATAGATGGTCCTGGAAAAGGGGGCCCTCCATAACAAGTCTGCTTCTTGTCGTATGTTGAGGGCTGTAACGTATGATCTTCTGTCTCCTCAGAGACTTTGCTGTCCTGAGATCCTGTGTCGTTCAAAGTCTTTGACACAGAGTCGCTCAAACCTTGAATGTTGGCAAGCAGTCGCGACATCCTTGCCTGAACATTGACGAGTTGCGCCCGCAACTGCCTGTTCTCACGCTGAAGCTCCTCGATCCGCTCATTGTCGGACTTCTGGTCGGTGTTCACTCTGCTACTAAGCTCTCTCATGCGCTCCGCTTGCCTGCGACGGAAAGCCTGCTGTGATAGCCGGTTGCGCAGTCGTCTTAGGTTGAAGCAACCCCTCGTTAGCGATTTTCGTTGGGGGTAATGGGGTGCTGGCGTTCACCACGCAACTCCACCTACTTCCGTTCTTGTTCACTCATTGAAGAGCTCTTGTCTTCCTCATGGGAAGTATTTCTGGAGGGCGGCATCATGCGGCAAATGGCCTAGTGACTCAAAGCTCTCAACTCGATTCTTCAATTAGGAGTTTGTAGGAGGAAAACCGCAGACTTATTTCTGTCGCACACTAGACGATCAGGTACCTTACTGGCGCCGTGGGGACCTGCTATCGGCCCCACCACCGAATGCTCCGTGCCGGGAATGCCGTCACGGTGGCATCTTGGGCTTGCTCTTCGGGCCCGATCGGGACTCTTATAGTTGAAGGGCTAGTTGTATAAGGTTTTCAAACACTTCGGTTTTTATATAGACCTCCCCAGTCGTGTCGGGACTCGGTGAAGGACACGAGATGTCGTCCGCCACTACTTGCGAATCCAGACAAATAAATGAGAAAATTACATGTCTTTCCGCGAAGCATGTCCTGAGATCTACCAAAGCATTGATCATGCCTCTAACGGAACAATGACGCGGTCAAACCAGACAAGCGGCGCATCGCCCCCCTCCAACCTCAGCCCGACACCAATTTGCGAGACCTTGCCAAGAATATTGACTTTGAACTCAACGGGTACGCATAGTATCGGGATGCCAACTGTCTGTGCCTTC